CATCTGCACTTCTACTTCTACTCCATGCACCTATACTTTGCCTTGATCTTTCCAGAGTAAGTCCAGAGGGCAAAGATGAAATATACGGGACCAGAAGATATGCGCCTTCTTGTCCACTCCTGCATTGCACCATCTGAGCTCTACTGTATTGCTAGACAAATCCTTTGTAAGGTCACCCCGGCGTCTTGGTAGCTAGTAGTTAATGGAAAACCAGAGGGTGGGGGGATGCGGCCAGGTGCCTCAAGCCAACTATAGTATTAGAATCATACAATTACAGAGTTGGAAAGGATTCTATCATCAAGCCCAGCCCCTGTCAAGGAGGCACAGTAGGGAACTGAACTCCCAATCTCTGGCTCTCCAGCCAGATACCCTAACCACTGAATTACAGATTTGGCAAGAGATCAGGGCCAAAACTCTTGTGTTTTCCCAATTTCATATGTTGTTACCATCCTAAGAAGTCATGATTGGCATATGCCCTTCTCCTGGACCAGTCAAAGAAGCAGAGAATGACACCAGTGAATTCTCGTACCAAATAATCACCTAGGAACTGTATTAAGTGGTTTGACCTCTCTCTACAAGAGCGAAAACACTGCTTTGAAGTAAGAGGAATGGTTTTTAGTACTCATGCCACCCCAGACTCACCTATTCACCACACCAATGATGCCAAGTTTAACTGGTATCACTCTTCCCATTAGTACGTCCATAGCATCAGTGCCAGCATCCATGAGATCCAGCTTTGTGATAACAGCAAGGGTGCGCCGCCCTATCAGAGCGGCAGGAAAACTGTCATTTTACATTAAGCTGGTCAGATATGAAATTTGCAAACCAAAGTAAAAGAGGAAAGTAGAAATGTCACCCACCAAGAGAGGTTACTTACCATGGTTCTTCAAATGGTACTCTGTGAATCCACACAAATTGGTACCTGTGCTGGACTCTTCGGCATATTCTAGAGCTCAAAAAATTGACCAACAGAACGCTTCTCCGTGGTGCGCATGCTCCGCCCGCCCGTGATACCTCAGTTCCAAACATCTGCGGCTGTCATAGCTCTGATAATTACAAAGTTCTAGACAACCTGTGACGGACAGCAGGGAGGTAGGGCAGAATGTGTGGATTCACAGAGGACCATTTGAAGAATCATGGTTACAGGTAAGTAGCCTCTCTTTCTTCTTCGAGGTCTCTGTGAATGCACATGAATGGGTGACTACCAAACTCACTTACTGGAAGGAGGGCCGTCACGGTAAAACCAAAGTCAGCACAGCCCTTCCAAAACTTGCTTCCTTTTTGGCTCTGACATCCAGCCTATAATGTGTCACAAAGGTCGATGGTGTAGACCAAGCAGCTGACCAACAAATGTCAGAGACTTCAATGCCACGTAGCCAGGCAGTAGAGGTAGCCACAGCGCTAGTGGAATGTACCTTCAATACAAGAACTGGTAAAACCTTGTTCCATAATTGCCTCTGATAGGCTCCCATAGCTCCCTGGTACTTTGAAATGCTCATGACAAATGAAGCCAGAGAATAGAGGCAACGGCCCAAGACATCCAGTTTCCGGCCTTCGCTGTTGGTAGGAGTGACCTTAGAACGATTTCCAGCCCTTGATTGATTGGATCGCACTATAATGGAATTCCGTGCAGGGTGCTTAGCGAGGAAGGTAGTGACGCCACCATGCGTCCTGTAATGATTTTCAACACATCTAGAGATTTGAAAAGACATAGGCGGTTGATTCCATGATTCCTTTATGAAGTTCAGCATACCTGGAATGAACGCCAAACTCAGCAGGGGGGACTTATCTTGGTTTATATCATCGAAAACAAGGTGCTGTTTGGGAGGAGGAGGTTGCTCTATGTCAAGTTCCAAGGATTTAGCCATGCAGAGAATTAACTGTGAGTATGATGTGAAGTCATCAGATGGAGATGGGGGATGAAGATCAGCAACATCTGAATCCGGCATTGGTAAATTTGAAGGGGATTCCCTGGATGCTTCCGAAGGTGGATCTTGCACAGAGACCGATGAAACCGAGGAAACTCTAGTAAAAGACAGAGGTGGTGAAGATGAGTGAGGATGAATTCTTGATATGGGGGCTGAAGCTCGGGGAATCAGTATGGACGTCTCCACTTCAGGTGGATGAGCAGTTCTAGAAGACGCAGTGTGATGAGATGACTGAGTGTGAGACACTTTCGGATGGGATACCAAGGGTGACGAGGCCTGGGAACGCCTCGCAGAATGGGATACTTATTGATCCTGCTGCGGTAAATGGTGTTTAGTAGCAGGCTTCGATGTCATAGGCTCGTGCTGGAAATAGGCTCGATGCCGACGCTGAGGGCAATGGAGATGATCCAGACGGAGAGGCATAGACATATCACACTCTTGGGCCTGACATAATCGCCAGTGTCGTATAAGATATCGGAATCGTTCCCATGGTACCGATGTCGACCACCACGCCGATCATCAAATTCTACATAAAAGGGCTCCTCATACTCAGCAAAAGCATAACATCAAGATGGACGTGGAAAAACTCTGACCTCCTGATGCTGAGGAAACTGTTGGCCTGGAGAAACATGTCAATGTTTCGCCAGATGTTTATTCAGAGGAGATTGCTGCGGACACCTCCAAGTTTGACAGTTGAATCACTGTTGCCCGTCCGATTGACAAAGGGCTCGAATGGGCCGAGGCCAGGCTGAAGATTGCATCAGCCTCAGAACGGCCATGACTTGGAGACATGCTCGGAATCGATACCGAAGCCTGCGACTGCAGCGGAGGTACAGAGCCGTCCCCTTCAGAAAGTAAGTCAGGATCCGGAAGCTCTCTGGATGACTCCTCAAGTATCGGTGAAAGCAGGGAAACTCAAACTGGAGGGAGTTCCTTAGGTTGAATAGACTTAGAAGACTGTTTAGCCTTCTTATGCTTAACCACCTCCTTTTTCTTGGGGTCTTTAACAGATGGTGATTTCGACATTGATGTCAACATAGATGTCAACAACTTCTTCAGCTTGGATGCCTTCAAAGAAGCTCTTGAAGAAGGGGTAGCAGGAGCCGGCAAGGCAGTGGGTTCAGGACGAGGAGTGGGAGGAGCAGGAGTCACAGTAGGTTCCATGACTGCTGATCTCGAGGTGTTAATGATTTATCTCAAAGATACGAGTGGAGCCGCTATAAGCGGAGCTTAAGGGCGGGCTTGGACAGGAGTGGGTCTGGTGTCTTTCCCCCAAACAGAATGAACAGTAGTCGTGGCTGCCCATGAAGGGGATCTTATTGGCACATAACATACAGCGTTTGAAAGGGCCTGACAAGGCCATAAAATTTGGCAGGAACAGGTGGAAGGAGGGGTGGGGGCTGGGGAAAGGGAAGAACTCATGGGAAACATCAACAATTACAGTCCAGAATCAAAAACTGAGAAAAATAAGAGGCCAAAATTATTACGACAAAGTCCATAATTGAAATCGCAAATGGTAGCCAGTCCAAAGGTCAGAAAAACCAGACACAACGGTAGCCAATCCAAAATCCCAGAATCGTAAATCGAGACGGTCCAAGTCAAAATACTCCAGAGATCAGAAACGAAGTCAAGAAACCAGGCCAGAGTCAAAACCAGAAGATATGAAAGAATTGAAAACAGCTCTAGGTGTCGTGAAAGATTGCAGCGACAGCAAAAAGGAACCAAGGTATCATGGGCAGGCGGAGCATACGCACCACGGGGAAACGTTCTATTGGTCAATTGTTTACGCTCTAGACTATTTCAAAGAGTTCTGTGCAGGTGCAGTTTAACCCATTTGTGTGCATTCCCAGAGACCACGAAGAAAAACTAAGCCATAACAGAAAAGAGTAATTCACCATTAAAAGTGTGTTTGTTCTCAGGCTTATAGTTAAACTGTGTGGTTAAAACAAGGATACAGAGTTGCTCCTCTCAAAGCACGTTTTTTCCACCCACATCCACTATACCAGCAGTTCCCAACCTTTTTGGGATTGCGGACCAGTTGGGGGGTGCAGGCTCCATGTGCGGGGGCATGTTGCACTTATGCGCATGCCCGTGAGCACAGCACGCCCACCTGTGAGCACGACACCCCCGCGTGCATGCGGGGGGGGGCAGAGATCCATCTCCGTGGCCCAGGTCCAGAAAACCTATGGTCTGGCACCGGGCCATGGACTGAGGGTTGGGGACCCCTGCACTACACCTCATCAACCAGCAGTATCAATATTTCTTTAAAAACTGAGGTGTTTTAAAATCCACTGTTCTCTGGGAGTATTTATATCCAAGGTATGTTTCATCAGGAAACAAAAGGTTAATAAAACCTGAAAGTCTGAATGATTGTCTAAATATTCCACCCCGCCCCCCATACAGTTAAATATCAAGGTTACATTTTTGTTTGTCATAATCTCTCACGAAAGCAGCTATCTTACAAAACACAAATAACACAATATATTCCGAGTACCTTGGAAACACCATGAACTTCTCGGGAAAATGGCCTAACAATTCATATGTCTGTTTATGAAACTAGGGACAAACATCAGGTTGAGCACTACTCATACTGATTCTTCCCCTTGCCCATGACATTTTAGTGCTCCACTTCCAGCTTGCTTCAAGCCAGGATACAAGCCACTGTGCCTAACCTTGGGAACTTTTAAGTTATTGTCAGTTAATAAAGCAGGTTCACAAGCCAGGAAAAAGAGGACTGCTTGGTCCTGATCCCCATTCCCAGCTTCAGAAATCATCAGGGCTTGAAAAATGCACTCATCCGCTTGTCTGTGACGAGTGAAAAATGCTGCTGGACGAGTCACAGCTCCCTCCCTGCCTGCTTCCTTCCTCTCCGCCTGTCTCTCTCTTTCTAATCCTGCCGTCCTCTCCTCCCCCCTCCCATTGCAAAAGGAAAACTGCCCTCTTCTCACGAGAAGAGAGTAGTTTGCAGGAGAATGTAGAGCAGTCCCATGCTGGAGAATAGGGAGATTCCCTGCTCCGAATTTCGACTGAACGAGGACACATCCTGGGGTGGGAGGGAACCGTGGCTCCTTAAGAGGCCGGGTGCTTTTGCTTTCAGTTTTATTTTTGCTCGAGACATTTAAAAGAAAGGCATTCAAAATACAAGCTTCATGACCCCAGAGGGACTCAAGTAATAAAGCAACCCAAGTCTGAGGGTATAAATCAATGATTTCCAATCCCAATAAATTGCAAGGCTATAGTCTGGTCATGCTGACTGGTGAAATTTTTGACTGACTGGTAAGACATTCTAAAAAATTTTTAAGCCCTGGAAATCACAGACATTCTAAAAAATTTTCAAGCCCTGGAAATCATAATTTACAAACCCTGCAGAAACTATCCTGAACTGGGTCAACAGATTTCATGGGTGTTTTCAGTAGCTTCATGGAGTATATCCCAAACTTGTCTTTAGCCTGAAGAAGGCATCTTGCCATTTTAATTAGACAAGTTACAATCACAAGTACACTACTATAAGGTAAGAACTTCCCCCCTCAATTGTGCCATGACGAAATATTATGAGATGGGAGGAGCAAAACAGAAGCTGTGTTCTTTCTACTTACCATCTGGATCTACTTCCCGTGCTATTTTAAGGGCCTCAGAAGTGGCCATATCTGTGTTGGCAGCAGTAACTGCCAGGATAATTGAATTGGGGTTACTAATGAATCTAAGGATTAGCTCTCGGATCTGAAGTTCAATATCCTTTGGTTGATCACCCACAGGTACCTAGGAGAGAAAACAAGTCAGTGAAACCTTTATGTGCCTTCTTTCAAAGTCATGTGTTAACACTTGATTACCCGCAGCCATCTTTTTAAAAATAGAGCACCTGAATGCCATTCTCAGCAAGGAGATAAAGTAAGACAAGAAGGGGACTTTAACTGTGAAGGTTATTTGGGGGCAAATGGAACTTTTGACTCTCAGAGCTTCAGCTAGGCTTCTGATGCTATACTTAAGATGAGATAGCCAATTAGCAACAGAAGAGGAAGACAGAATTACGAAGCCCCAACACAATGTGGCGGGGACACTGGAAGTGTTGGGGAATTGAACGGGAGAATCAACCAAAACCATAGGAAGAAACACAGCAAGCTACTGCTTTACATTGTAAATTGGTATCTTATGTATATTTCACTCAATTGCAAAATGTAAGTTTCACTAACTCATAGGGCAAAAATTATTTATTATCTTACCTTTGTCATTCCTGGCAAATCTACAAGGGTCAGGTTAACAACATTAGGTGAAAAAATCTTTAGATGAATAGGTTCAGGGCTGATCCCCTAGAAAGCCAAAGAAAAGTAATTAAAACTCATTTACAGTATATTGAGTTATTTTTCCTAATTGAACCTATCAAAAACCTGCCACTACCTCTGAATCTCTGACTTTAGGTTGCTATGAAATTGGGTATCTGTGGGTAATCTGCCTTCTTAATTAATTCAGATTTGAACACTTCAACTATTTCTCCGTAAGTACAGCCAGCAAATATCCCTTTTTTTAAAAAATGACTTTAAAAAACTTTACAGAGCAAGGTAATGCATTGAAGATGCAGAACTCGCTTGGATGATATGCTCCAGGTAGACATTATGAACATCAGCATGAAGGTTTTGTCTCTGTATACAGAAAACTAACATATCTCAGTACAGTAGAACAATTCCCAGCTGTGCCCAGATTTTGTGTAGAAACAATTTGCAATTGAAGGCTTAGCCAAACAGGTGCCTACCTTATTATTTCCTGAAATCCTTTCTGTTTCATTTTCGATTTCTTGCCTAATTTCATCAAAGTCTGTATAGAGCTGAAATGTTAGAAAGAAAGAAAGAAAGAAAGAACGAAAGAAAAAAAACCAATTTATCATGAGTGGCTTTATTTATTTTGAACAAACCATCCAGGCAGCAACCGTTCTTGGAGGCAAGTTGTGCCAAGATCCAAGGAAGCACACCAGAGATGGAGGGATATGTTTGTGTGTGTCAATTCCTGAAGCTCTGTGCACAAGTACACAGACCTTCTGCCTAACTGAGCATGGTGGAAAAGATAATACTGAAGATTCTCCAGATGCAACAGGGTTTCCCTTGTAGAGAATGTTCTTGACACTATTTGGAACAGGAAAATAGCTGCTCCACATATAGATACATCACTATATTCTGTGATATAAATTGTTTGAGTCTTGCTTCATCTGCAAAGGTTACACTATTTCTGGGATTATATGCATTACAATACTGGGGTGGAATGGGGTGAGTTACACAAAGTGCTATTTGTTAAGATTCTCTCTGCACAAGCATCTGTGAACTGAAGATCAAGAGTGATGCAAACACTCTGTTTTGTTACAGTGGTGCCCCACTTGACGCCGATAATGTGTTCCGTTAAAATCGCTGTTAAGCGAAATCGTCGTCAAGCGGAAAAAAATCCCCATTGGAATGCATTGAAAACCGGTCAATGCGTTCCAATGGGAAAAATATCTCATCGTCCAGCGGATTGCCCATAGAGCATTGCCAATCAGCTGTTCTAATTTGCTGTAATGCGAAGCTTCCATCCGGAAAGCAGCCAGTTTGATAAGGGAGAGCAGCCACTTTATGAAGGGAAGCCATTTTGTGGATCCAGAAAAATCGTTTTTTAGTGAACAAAAGGTTCACGAAGCAGGCTCCTAATCAACGTCAAGCGAAAAATCTGATTGGAACCATTGTTTTGCAATCGCAAAAAGTCATAGTTAAGCGATTTCGACGTCATGCGGGGTAAGCGTCAAGCGGGGCACCACTGTATATGTGTTTACAATTAAATCCAGTACATAAGTCAGAACAGGGCTGTCCTTTGGATTAGATCTGCCCATTCTGTGAGCTTGTCGCAGGCAGGGCAGTTGAGAGTTCTGACCCCAAGAGAGGCCCCAAAAGCAACTACCAGAAACTGGGCCTTCTCGGCCGTCGGCCCACAACTATGGAACAGTCTCCCGCCCAAAATCTGCCTGGTCCCCTGATTGGGAACCTTTTAAAAGCTATTAAAAACATGGCTATTTAGACAGGCCTTCTCAGATCTTATAACAGCATGATACAATAGTACCTCAATAGCGTAACGTTCAACCTACCACCATGTTTTTATTCTTACTTTGGTTTATTTTCCTTTTGTTTTATCTCATGATGTTTCACAGTGTACTTTATTGTTATTTGTTTTGCGTTTCTTGTATTTCATTTGGTAATTGTTGTATACTTTTGTTTATTCTGTTGCTGGTATTGTTTACTTTATTGTGAGCGGAGTGGCCTTGGCTGCCAGATGGGCGGTATAAAAATCAAATCAATCAATCAATAAAATAAATAACTGTGCTGGGCTCACCTCCACAGTGGAGGTTTGGTGAGTCAACTCTTCTATAAGTTCCACTCATTCAGTGCACCTACTGTAGGTGCAACTTACCACTGAATTTCAAATATGGACTCCCACAGATCTACAGTTGCGCAGTGGTGTCCCATTTTTTCTGGACCCAACCTCTCTGCAAGCCACAAAAGGCAATACTCCTGCACTTTTTTGTTAAAGGAACATTAAACTCCTTGAACCTCACAAATTTATGTCAAACTCATTATGTAGGATTGGACTTCTAATAACATTTCACCAGTTGTTCTTTAAAAATTACCTCTAAAATGTGTGTGCACTTTGCTCAAGACCTTCTCATTGTCAAAACCAGTCCACATTGTGTACACGCATATGCAACACCCATGCACTTCAACAGCTTCACAGGAAAAAAAAACCTACCTTGTTTTTTGTGTGTAGAAATTTTCCCCATTCTTCTGCATCAACCCCTGGAAAGAGATATTCATGAGATGAGAAGTGAGGTAAAAGGCAAATATTTTCACCTTCAAATACAATTGCTCCATTGAGTTTTTCTACTCCCAAATTCTCAAGATGAAAACTAAAAGCAAGCACATTGTGGCATTAATAAAATGAGAACATAAATTTTCCAAGTTAAATGCCTCAATACGGATTAATATCTTCTGTTCTATTTATATGCTAACAAGACAATTCTAAACCTGGGGCATAAAATATATTGCTTACCATATTTTAAGGCCAGAAGTTCTAAAGTAGTCACAAGAGAAAATGTTTACATACGTAGGTATACAAAGAGGAGCACCAGATCATTTACAAATTATGCCAATCCACCTAGGACTTTCACGAAAATAAATAGAAATAATGAATAGTCACTAATTCAAATCATATGGCTTGAAATGTGACCTTAGCATGACTAAACCATAGCTGAATCTGGGCCTATTATTGAGCTAGCTAGGCAAAAACATCCCATTTTTATACTGATTTGTTACTGATTTATTTGGCATGAACAAAAACAGTTTTCAGTATTTCATTCTATATGTGCAAGATGAAACTTTTGTTGATCTTCCACTCTTAAGAGAGTAAATGCATTAAGAGATGCATTAAAAATAAACTCTGAAAGCAGATGATACATATCTAAGAATATCCTGTTCAAGGAACATCATACCCTTCAGGCCAACAACTCAGTTTTGCCCAGCTGAATGACTATAAGCTTGGGTATACGAGGGATGATCAAATGAGAATTTCTTATGCAGTGGAGTGGAAGTGAGAATTCCAGCAAACACACCTTGCACAATAAGTAGTGCCTGCTAAAAACTTACTTTTCTTGTCAATTGTTACAGGTGTGGAATACCTCTGTCCTGTTTCGCCTGGTCTAGATAGGGATTAGGAAGGTGTTTTTCCTTCCTATAATCTTAAATTGGATTGCTTCCCCTTTGCTTGTGTGATGGCAACTCTTTCCAGCTGGGCGTTGCAATTCGGGTTTATTTTCTAAAGCCACAAAGCGGATGTGGCCCACTGTGGATATGCACTCTTTTAAATACCTGAGGGACCAGGTTTAACTGAAAGAAAAGCTGTCTCCAACTCTGGACATACAAGTTTATTTCTTAAGTGATTTATGCTCAGAGGATTGGTTAATAAACGGGTAGCAAGCAGGCTGCCTGGACCCTTTTTCAGAATTGCTGCTAGAAAAAGTGCACTCAGCAAGTAGAAATGGTGTGTTTCTGAACGTCCTTAGCCCTTAGGCTATGAAGAATATGCAGTCCAACAGCAGCCGACCAGCTGGATCACAAGAGCATTGGTGGTATGACTACAAAACATCGCCCTGGAAAGCAGTATCTTCAGTTCAGGAGAGCTACCAAAAGCCAGATTCTTTGCTACAGCTAAACAGCAAAGTACGTGTCAGTCCACTGGATTACATGACGGTGCAGCTTTTCATTTATGTATTACTTAGCTGATACTATTTTGTGGTATTTCCAAAAAACCTAATCCGTCTACATATTTAAAAATACAATTTGATAACAAAAGAAACCATGACAGTTATGACAAAGCACTATATACAGTATTTTAAAGAGGCTGATTTCTATCTTTCATTCCATTTGACATAAAGGAAGAAGAAAGAGTGAGCAAAACCAGCAAGCACACTACAACCAGCTATTTAACACAGCAGCCAGTGTGTAAATGTGCAAATAAGGACAGCAGGCAGCATAGAAGTGGCATGAAATGCTAGTGGCTAGAACATATAAGCATGCAATTTCTGTGTAGGGGAGGAAAAAGAAGTGAACAGGAAACCTTTAGCAAGGTGCCTTGAATGTTTCCATGTTGCAGGGTCTGCAGTCAGAAAGAAACAGCATCAAAAGTTTAGTTATTCTTCTACAGAGATTGGTTTATTTTCTCTCCACACCATTTTGCATTACCCTCTTTTTGTTATTATTAGCTCTGCTGGAATCACAACACGCAGAAAGAGGCTCGTGTTGGTGGCTGGTTGAGAAATCAGTTAGATTCTGCTGGAATCACAACACGCAGAAAGAGGCTCATGCTGGTGGCTGGTTGAGAAATCAGATTACATTCAAACAACAATCAGAATTAAGTGGTGTGTATTAGTAACAAGACGACAATATTGAAGCATGGTAATTGTTGATAACTCTGCAGCGATCAATTCATTCCCTCAAATACCTCACATTGTAGAAACATGATCTATAAAAATGTAATAAACACTTTTATGAGTTGAGAATGAAATTTTATTAAAGAAACACCAGTTTTACAAAATGAACAAATTGCCAGACAAATGTCCTCCCCCCTAATCCTGTCCGAGACATATCCTGTTCACTTGTATGCCCTACTGGGAAGGAATGTCCTACTCGTATTTCTACATGCCAAAAGACTTACAGAGAATAGGTTCAGATTTGTAAAGCTTTAGTGAAGAAAATTCCACCACATCAAGCTGGGCACCAGCCCTTCACAGATGACACAGAACAATTGTAGAGAAGAATCCCCCAAAAATCATCATGACAGAAGACCATACTGCTTGCATGAGGTGAGTTCAGATTAATCCCCCAAAAATCATCATGACAGAAGACCGTACCGTGACTGCTTGCATGAGGTGAGTTCAGATTTAGGTTGCAAATGTCAAGACTGAAGGAGTGTGGTCTTGAGCACCACCCATTAAGCTGGGCAAACTTCAAACAAAGGGTTTGATTAATTACTCGGAGACTACCCTTCTCCCCAAGCATCACCACACTGCCTGCGTCCAAAATACAAAGTTTATTTTGGGCTGGAGGGAAAAAGACAACACAGACACAACAACCTCTATCAGCAAGTGTGTTGACAGCTGGGCTATCGCTTTACTTCTTCCACAGGGTCTTGGGCCTACCAGGCTTCTGGGGCTTTTGGGTGGGCGGTGGGGTGGCATCTACATCCCCCCCTCCAAAAAAAGTGGTAGTGACATACTGGAAGAAATCCTCCAAAGCAGTCTATTTCCAGAAGACTAAAAATGAAAAGACATTATCAGAGTGCTTCTCAGAAAACTGTTTTCATACAAATTTTGGTTCAACAGTTGTCCTCTCTCAAGGATCAGTACTTTCCAAACATGCAGCTAAGCACCCAAGAAATCTATCCAGTTGGTAGAATCATATTATCCAGCAACTTCCATATACACAAAAGCAGGTATGGGGGAGGGCAGAGAAAAGAGTAACATCCTCTCCAAAACAGAATTTTGTCTCTTTAGAGCACCACAAAGACAATTTGTGATAGAACCAAGAGGAGCAGCTGCATCAGGCGCCACCACAATTACTTTGCTCAACTTTCTATGCTCCATAGTAGGCAAGGGCTCGTCATTAGTGACGCTAACACACAAAGGCCAAGACAGAGGAGCTGCGTGAAGTAGAAGAACAGCTGGCAAATTCTCTGAAGCATTAACACACCAATAAATAATTTAGTATTAAAAGATCAATTAAATCAGACAGGTTGGAATTGCTGGTACCACTAAAATGACCTCTGACTACTAAGCTTGTTTTAAGCTCACTAAATAGGCAACTACAGCATATCACAGAAGTGAGTACACCCCCTCACATTTCATAATTATTTTTGTATATCTTTTCATGTGTGACAACTGTGCTGACCTCCATGTGGGAAAGCTTGTGTGCATGAACAGCCTTTCCAGGTTCACCTCTGCTCATAGATGTCTGTATACAAAGGCTTCCCTGCTTCAGAAGTCAGAGCACAGCTATGGGCACAGCTCTACTGTCCTTTCTCCACAATTTAGCCATTTACGAGTGTTATGTTTGATTTGACAATATATCCCCAGTGCTAACTTGATGCTTCTCTAACTCTCCATGACGTCTTCGGATACATGAACTGACTAGAGTCATATTGGGTAGACTTCAATCTTACAAGGTCTTTCTGCAATCCACAGAACCTCGTGTTAAAATAAGTCTGTGTTAGCATTTTATTTATTTCATTTATACACCACCTTTCTCCTAGAATTGGGGCCCAATGTTGCTTTTGGATCTATTTAAAACCAAAAAATACAATACAACAATATCACAGACATGAAAGTAATTTTTGAATTCTGTCCTGTAATTCTAACACAATTAAATTTAGAATCACTTAATTAAAACAGTAATAACAATGTATCATAAAGCGGTAAAAATTAGCACATTTGCTGAGACTGTATAATTAGAGATTCTTAACTGCCAAAATGTTGCCTAAATAAAAAGGTTTTACTTGCTGATGAAAGAACAGCAGGGAGAAGCAAACCTAGCCTCTCTTGGCAAGGACTTCCAGAGCAAAGAACGCCTTTTCTCAGTGAGCCTCTGAAGGTGGTGGAACTGTGAGCAAGGGGCTCTTCAACAGATCTTAGAGCACAGGGAGACTTATAACGGCCCATTTTTTCAATAACCTGGACTAAGTCATATATGGTTTTATAGGTCATAACCACTCTAATAATGTCAAACTATTTCTTAGCTATTCATAATCCTGAACAATAAATTCTGGGCCATTAATAGAAACAACCACCCTGAAAAACCAAAGTGAAATGGACAATGGAACATCAAAATACAGTGGTGCCTCGCTAGACGATTGCTTCGTTTAACAACGATTTCACTTTACGTTGAGGTTTTCGGAGTGATCTTGCGTTTCGTTTAACGATGTTTCCTATGGGCAATTTTTGCTTTACGATGTTAGGGACCTTGCCTCGCAAGACAATTAAATTTTAGGTCCCTGTTTTTCGCTTTACGATGTTTTTGACAGCTTGGAATTGCTTCACTATACGAGTCTTTTAATGGTCTCTGTTTCGTTAGACGGCTGTCTTCACTTGGGAACGGCGTTTCACTTAACAATGTTTCCTATGGAAATTTTCGCTCAACGATGACAATCTGTTCCCACTGGAACGGATTATCAGGTTTTCAATGCATTTCAATGGGAAAACATGTTTCGCAAGACGATGTTTTCGCTTAACAGCGATTTTCACGGAACGAATTAACATCGTCTTGCGAGGCATCTCTGTAATCATTTCACTAAGAGAGTTGGAAGAATCAATACAACAAACCCAGAGTGATGTGATCTAGGAAACTGTCCTACACTGAGTCAGACCTCTGGTGCACTGAGCCCAGTATTGACAGCACTGACTGGCAGCAATTCAAGGTTTCAGGCATGATTTTTCCCTGTCCGAGTCTGCTAGAGACGGAACCTGGGATCTTCTCCATACAAAGCATGTGCTCTGCCACTGGTCCATGGTTCCTCCTCTAATAATATATGTTTTTCTAATATGCTCTATGTACATTATAGATAATATACTCTCAGTTTATTTGAGGGAACTGATTTGATGGCCTAATTTGGAAGACAATTTTCAATCCTGCAGTTGTTACAAAAATTGTGGCCGACAAATCCTTGCAAAACTATCACACATGAACAGTAATTTATGGCTCAGCAAATCCTGATCCACTGTCTAACTGCCACTGCTTTATGCAGCTGCTTATAGCTCAGCTTCTGCTGCTCACTTTCCAAAATGTAATATTATCCAAAATGTAATATTAAGCAGGGATAAGAATGTATGGCCCTCTCCAGATGTTGACAGACTACAACCCTCATAAACCTAGCCAGAAAAGCCAATGGTAATGGAGAGTGCATCCCTTAAATCCAACAAAATCAGGAGGGCAATCAATCTCCCATTTCTAAGGTATAAACTGTCCTTAGGTGGAATGAGATATTGTATTCTGAATACTTTGAATATCCTAGAGACCCATTAAAATATTAAGAAAATCCAAAACAAGGCAATGAAAACAAACACCTCAGAGCTCCTTTAGACCTAAACCAGATTGAGTACAGTGAATAAACAAAGCTAAAAGACACCCACATAAAGGGCGAAGAAGTAAGCTTTTCATGCAAAATTGTTGTATAGGAACAAACAAATACACATCAGAGATGGTTTGCCATCAGGACAGAGAGAGAGAGAAATGGCTAAGGGGCACAAGGCAAGGAAGTTTAAGTGATTCTTCACTTGACTCAATAGTAAAAAAAACTGCATGATCAACTATTCCCTTTTAAGAATCAAATCCCATTCATGGCAGCCCTTACCATTTTCATCTCCAGCTGTTTTCCGGCGATCTTCTGCTGAAACATGCACCAACTGCAGGATGAGGGGTCTCCGGGTGACAATTCCTGTGCCTCTTGGGAGCAGATCCCTTCCAACTAGGCTTTCCAGCACAGAACTTTTGCCACTGCTCTGAAAATGGACAGAGAGGCCAAGGGTTCAACTCTTCATTTCACTGTTTCAGAGACACTGAAGCAAAATACGTTTTGATCAATTACAGATCCCACATAGATACCAATGTCCCCCAAGAATACCAAGTTTCTAAAAAAGAGGATTTCTCTACTGAACTATCTAGGTATCTAGACTGCCTTACGTCTTTTAGAAATTCCACTTAAACCTCACTTAACTTCAGTCAAACTCCCTGCATATGGATATCAAGCAAGCCATACTGGCTTTCCACAGGCAGGGAAATGGGAGTAGCATGAGAAATGTCAAGCAAGTGAGTCTCCATTCTAGTCTGACATTTGTGGAAATCCTTCCTCATAGAAATCCTCAGATGCCTAACATCTGAGTTTCAGAAACACAGGAAAAACATGCTATTTGAGATGGTATTTTATCTGTTCACAATCTAAATTCGTGAAGTATATTTAGGTGCTTACGTTTGCCTTTCCATAGAATCATACAAAAGTGAAGTTGGAAGTGGTCTACAAGGCCATCAAGTCCAACCCCCTGCTCAATGCAGGAATACAATCAAAGCATATCTGTCAGGTGATTATCTAAGTTTTTCTGGAATGCCTCCAGCGTTGGAGCACTCACCAACTCCTGAGGTAACTGGTTCCACTGTCATACTGCTCTTAACAGTTTGGAGGTTCTTCCTGATATTTATCATAGTGTCCTCACAGTACACTCCAAAACTCATTTTCTTCTCTATATACTCTACAAACACACACATGCACACAGCAGCTTGCAGGTCCTCTCCAAGTTCACTGAGTTTTCACTTGACAGTAACAGACACACGAAAGACAAAGACCCACACACCTCAACACACTTCCATTGGCCTAATTGGAACCTCCAAATAGGCATAGGATCAAGCTGCAAACTTTCAAATACTCTCTTACAAATACTACCTGGGAAACAAAATCTAAAACATTTGTGTTTACTGCACCAGTAGACTAGTAATAAATAATGGCATTCATTGTCTGCTGCTAACTTGTTATTAAAATGCAAACGAAATGATTTTAACACCCTAACTATCTTGTTGATATGTGAAAGGGTTTTATATTTCTTGAGAGGTCCGATCTGGCCATGGTGACACATGCTCTAGTTATATCTCAGCTGGATTACTGTAACGTGCTGTATGAGGGGCTGCCTTTGGAAAGTGTTCGAAAACTCCAGCAGATCGCAAATGCCACAGCCAGCTTGCTAACTGGAGCTAGTTACAGGGAACATATAACTCCCCTAGTATAGAAGCTCCACTTGTTACCAATCCATTTCTGGGCACAATTCAAAGTGTTGTTTAGTCATTAAGTCGAGTCTGACTCTTTGTGACCCCATGGACCAGAGCATGCCAGGCCCTCCTGTCTTCCACTGCCTCCCAGATTTGGGTCAAATTCATGTTGGTAGCTTTGGTGAAGGGCCGAAAAGGGCCGATTTCTTGTTCTTTCTTACTCTCTCGGCGTTAGGCCCCTCAGCCGTCTTTCCTGGCTATGTCACATAACCGAATAGAAAGTAGCTGCCAGAAATAACGTACAGTGGTGCCTCACTTAGCAACGTTAATCCGTGCAGGAAAAAACGTTGCTAAGCGATTTCATCGCTAAACGGAATTAAAAAGTCCATAGAAACACATTAAAATGCCATTAATGCATTCCTATGGGCTTCAAAACTAACCTTAAAGCAAAGATCCTCCATAGGGGAGGCCATTTTCGGTGCCTCTAAAGCGAGGACACACAGCGGGCAGCCATTTTGTTTACCCGGCAGCCATTTTGAAACCGCCGATCAGCTGGCCGAAAATGGGGGCTTTGCGATGATCGCTTCCCTGCGATCATCGCAAAGTGAATTTTCCCCATAGGGACCATCGCTAAGTGATCGCTTTTGCGATCGCTTAAACTCCGTCGCTAAGCGATTTTGTCGCTCAACGGAGCAATCGCTAAGCGAGGCACCACTGTACTTAGGAAACTGGCTGGGTCCGACTAAGGTGCATACCCACAAATAATAAGAACAACTATATGTCCCCAGGATGGCTAAAAATTAGTGATTTATAAAAATCTGCTTCTTAAATTTAAATTGAAAAAAACTTCTTTTATTTAAATCATGATTTAAACTGTGATTTAAATAAAATCTACTCTGTCCCTGGTCTACTCCACAGCAGAATATGCTAGTGTCATATAGTATGCACATTCCAGTCTACTCCACAGCAGAATATGCTAGTGTCATATAGTATAAATAGCACATTCCAAACAAGTGGATGTAGCTGTTAATGGGTCACACAGTATTATTACTGGCTGCAGAAACCTACCCCCCCCCTTAGAAAAAGTCTCTTATTTGCTTGGCATTGCCCCTCCAGAAGTATGCTGAGAGGTGTAAGCAGATAATGAACAAAAGAAGATAATACAGCATTAAACCCATCCACTTCATGGAAAAAAATTTCTGCACACATCTTTAGATCTAAATAGTAAACCAGAAGAGGATAATATAAAACTATGAAGAACAAAAACAATACAGTGGTGCCTTGATTTACGACTGTCCCAACATACAAAAAAAGGGGAAAAGGCAGGGAATTCAAATTAGAGTACTAACTGTTGGTCAGCGAAGAGCTTCTTTTTAGCTCTTTCACCCCAACAGTTAGAGTGTGCGTTTGCAGGGAGGCTTCAGACTGCCTGGTGCTGCTTTCTGCTTCAGGGTGAGGACATTTAAAGGGTTTTTCAGGGTGGGTTTGGGTTGGGGGGGTTATGTTTCTGTGCTGTGCTGTTTTTTGGTGTTTTTTTTTCCTCTGTTTTTGTTTTTTATTTTATTTTCAGCCCCAATACATTCCAATGGAATTGACTGACTGACTGACTGTGTGTGTGTGTGTTTGTTTTGTGTTTTTTTCAGCCCCATCGTGTTCCGATGGGGCTGGCTGTGCGCCTTTTGTTTGTTTATTATTTTTTCCATCTGGAACAGATTAATGGGCTTTCAGTACATTTCAATGGGAACTGGTGCTTCGACTCGACCATTTTGAGTTACGACCATTCTTCTGGAACGGATTAAGTTCATAAGTCGAGGCACCACTGTACAGCTTGCCAAATGGATGGATGCTGGAGTGTCCAACATGACAAGACTCTAGCTGGACCACTTGGAAACAGGACCATTTTTTCTGTGACTGTTGACAAATTCAATCAATGCAACACTTACATGCATGCAGTTTATGCTCCATCATGTGTACAAAAAGATCTACCCTGTTTCCCTGAAAATAAGACCTAACCTGAAAATAAGCCCTAGTATGATTTTTCAGGATCCCCAGTTAAATAAAACCCCACCCTCCACCATTGTGCGGCAACCAGAAGAAGATGACATGATTGTATTTGAATAAGTCTAGATAGTAGTACATGGAAAAAATAAATCAACCCCTGAAAATAAGCCCTAATGTTTTTGTTTGAGTAGAAAAAAATAATGTAAGACTTTGTCTTATTTTGGGGGGGGAAATGGTAGCAACTGGCAACTGTGGAAGTAGCCCACTTCTGGTCAAAAACAGCCTAATTATCTTAACATTTTAATTTGTTTTAATTTTACCTATATTACATATATAGTAATAATTTTAAATTGTGCAATGCTCTAATACAAAGAATGAAAGAACCAAGTTAGCTTTCCTCTTCATATATGAGAGGGTATCAGGTCCTTGTGCTTACTTTATGTCCTTGTGACCAATTTTTTTTATCCTCTAAAACAAACAGTATCTAAATCATCATGACACATATCTCATGCTCCACCTACAGTACTGTTGTACGTCATGACAATGATCTATGGAGGCCAAGTATAAATAATAGGAACAAAGACTTTCCAATACACCCTCCTACAATCAATTGACTCATCTACCACATTGGGCCACATGCATCCTGAATTAGCATCTCTGCGCCAAACGTTTAAAATCAATTGACAAAAGGAGCAGAAATTTGCCTTTGCTATCCACCATCAAGTCTCCAACAGCCTCCTGCACGCTGTCAAGAATTTACCAGATGAGAAGGCAATTAGTGTCACTTTCACTTTGCTGCTCCTTCCTCGCACACAGGCCAGAACAGGAAAGGCACTATCCTGCAAGCACACAAACAGAAGGAACGGAGGTTTCTCAAGGACATGCTCTAGGTGGATTGTGATGCTACACTACAAAGTAACATGACACATTTTATTTCTTTTCTTTTTATTACCAGGCAGAAAACTAGGCACCTTGTGTCCCAGTGCCCGGAGAAAGGTGGCACAAAAGTGCAGGAAATAAGTAAATAAATAAAATTGCCCCCACCAAGCACAAATTCCCCCAAAATCAGACAAAATGTATTCAATATAACTACTTTGATGGCTGACATACACGTTTGTATTCAATATACAGTAATCTTATTTTAAGATTATTTATTTAAAAGCTAATGTGATGTAAAGTCTTTTAAACTATAACATTTAAAACCCATCTTTTAAAAATCACTGTATCTTTTTCTACCCTGTCACGCTCATTCCTGACATTACTGAATGCAACGTTAAGGTTTAATCCCCTTAGTGGCTGTAGTATGGAAGAAGAAGCAGTACATAAGCCTGAGGCCATTTTGAAAATGTGCTTGGCACACCCCCAAAGGATTGAACATGCCTCACCCAAATAAAGCCAGAGCCAAACTTTAGAGACCTAAATGTTTTCCTCTAATGATGCACTGGAATCAAGGTCCCCTCCAAGGCAGTGGTCCCCAACCTTTTCTCAACCGCAGACTGGTTGGGGGGCACGACACACTTGCATGCACCCACACGCATGCGCAGGGCGCGCTCACGAGGAGGGGCGCTCGCGGGGGGGAGGAGATCTGTGTCCGAAGCCCTTTCCTGCCTAGGCCACGGACCGGTGCCGGGTTGTGGACCGGGGGGTGGGGACTCCTGCTGTAAGGTGTGTGGCTGCACGAGCGAGCATAACTCTGCCCTGTCCACACAGCTTTCCTCATCCTCCGTGCACCCACAGTGAGCAT